TTGACCTTCAAATGTTTCCTATATCTGTCTTCATACAAAAGTTGTCAGCACCTCTGCCAACAAATTTTTCTGCAGCTACTTTGCACTCGTCATGCACTGATGTAACCGATGGATTTGTTTCCTGTGGAGTTGCAGCAGCTGTACTAAATACTCCTAGTTTGGCCTTCAGACTTCCACTCAGGCCAAGGCAGTAAGCAACAGGGAATTGTACCAGTACTACCAACCGAACTACCACCTATCATTGTCTACAGCTTTCTACACTATATGTCATCCTTGACACCAGACCTTGATTGTTTGTGACTATGAATTCTTGATTGCTTGTTTGCATGACTTCTTGATTGTCAGTACCAGTACTTTTGTGCTGGTCATAGTGACTGTATTGCTGGTATGAAAAGCACATCCAGCCACTGCAGCTCACGATCAATACAGTGATAAATGCACCTTCCATCCTCATTATTGCTGTCATCATGGTCATGATGAGATATCCCTGCCATGTCATTTGGCAGTTTTCCTCCTTCCTGTTCTTCACCTCTTAGAATAGTCTCTTAGGCCACCTGCCATCGGAAGGTCCATGGGAGACATTTTCCTTCACACAATTTCCTGCAGCACGAGATCAACCAAACTTTCTCCTTTGCCGCGGTGAAGGTGGCATGTAAGTGATGCAAGCCAGTCCAACCTGAAGCAACCGGTGCTGCATCTGCCTGCCCCATCAGGCAGAGAGACTGATGTGCAATGTCACATGACATGCTGTGCGTCCCAGCTTATGGCTGTCCCATGTTAAATCTTCATGGCAATGCCATTATACTCCAAACCTCACAGTCTCCTTTCACGAAAATTGGGAAGGACAAAAACCTGTTCAATGCAAAACCGGGCTTCTCCTCTGTCCACACACTGAACCCCTCAACGCATTTCCAAGGTCCACGCTCACATCAACAATTGTGTATCCCACCCAGAGGCCGCCATTGCAATTCCGACCCATCGGAGTGATGGAAGGGATGAATCGGCTTCCATGTGTTGAACGACAGACAGCACATCGAGAAAACAGCACACACCAACAGTTGCAAAGGCTGTAACAAAGCTCCTTAGTACTGGATGAGGCACCTTACAGTTAGCTGCACCCCCAGCCAACAGTACTCATTCTTTCAAGTAGCACCTGAGTTGTCATCATCCCAACATTCCCCAAGTTCTGTCTTGCCATGCCAACAGGAGTTACCTGCTGATGCAGAAGAGAGCTATGTTTCACAATTGCTTCAAATGAACCGTCAAAGTCATGCTGGTTCAGATGTCAGTACCACAATTTGTGGGATGCATCAAGATTTCCTATCAATGGTGCATGACCCTGTCAGAGCAATGTCCACAATGATGTTAACAACTCGGTGTTCCTAAGGATCAATTATCCAGCAAGTATCTGGGATGTTAAGCTGCAAGCATCCTGGAGCCTGGAGCATATTGACAACCACCCACCGGGTGGAATTAGAGTTGACAAGGCACCAATTGCATTCTTGCATGCGGTCAGCATGTGGGCACCACCCAAGTCAGAGCCCACAATGAAGTCAGGTGGCATCCAACAAGGGCCTTCATGATCGGCACATTGTGTTTACATGAACACTTCACAAGAAAATGTTGTTGTTAGGGCAGGATTGTGTACAATTTTCCATGCAAAAACATTCTTGACGGTGGCTACCTTGCACTTGTCATGGAAAGCAAGTGCATCTCTTCACTTATCCATCCTTGCCAAACTGGAAGCAAAAGTCTGACAGTAAGGGCGCATGCTCTAACTTTAGACGAAACCAACTCATGTCCATGACATTCCGGGAGTCTTCAATTCCTGACTTTCTGCACCAGTCCCTTGTGGCATAAAACACACGCGCCCCCGGGAGGAAGGAGCGAGGCAAGGAGAGTCCTGTACCTGTTCTGGTCCTTAACATCATGCAGATCTTCAATTCTTTTGCATTCTGGCACCAAGCAACATCATCAAAACCCAAGGTAACAGAAGTACCTTTTGATGCAGCAGCCTTTGTTGGCGTGGTTACAGATCACATCCACCAGGATGAATTCCAAATGGTATGCAGAAACCAATCCATGCATCACTAATATGCCGTCCAAAGAAGGCAACTGCATGATGGCAGTTGAACGATCAGAATCATTGTTGAGTCCAAATGAACCAGCCAAATCATACACAATCCATTGTAAGGGCATGCAACGTTTCTCAACCTTGCCATTCCTTGTCGGATTAAAACTGCTTCACAAAATGCGGTTGCAAAATTGTGACCAGTGGAACAATTGACTCTGTAAAAGAAGGGGAAGCGATTGAGTGCAGTGCCAACACTTTTGGACTTGACAAAAAGAAATTCCTCTTCTTGTGCTTTTGTTGCATTTTTTGCTGAAATACTTCTTGGCAGGAGGCACTGCCACCACACATGGGTCTTTCACACAATAGTAAACCACAAGAAAAGAGACACATTTTCCCAACAACAAACCCTGCTTTTCAGCATGGATATCACCAAGCAGCAAGGACACCTCTGTGCTTTCAAATAATGGTTGGTTGAGCACTATGCTGTTGGACTGTACATTGCAGAGCAATCTGTCGCCACCGCAAGTTGTTTCCACGAACTCATCCCACATCGGAAGCCTTGGCACCTACACTCACTTGGAGTCATGCAACAATTTGATCAAAGATGATCCCAATGTGGTGGACATTGCAACAATAAGAAACAAAAGATGAAAGCATGTTTCGGATCATATACTATTGTCAGGCTCCTCATCCTGATTGTGTTGGGTGATCATTTTTTGTGCTGTGCTTGGACTGTTCCTCCTCCACATGAGATTTTTTGCAACTTTATTATTGTATGATTCCCTGAAATGCTACACACACCAACTTAATCACAATGTCATTAGCATAGTGAAAGATGTGTTTTTCTTCGTGAAAAGTTTTGTTCTTCACAAGGACAAACATGGACATGGATGATGCGGTGATTGGGCGTATGCATTATGACAATTGTCAAATTCAGACTAATGGAATCGACTACAGTGTATCTGCAATGGGGGTTGTACTTGTGCTAAACCTCACTGAGGGTTAAGACATCAGAACAGAAATGTTTACGCAACAGAACATCACCAAAAGTAGACTTGCGACGGTCTTTTCTGGTGGCAGTGGTGGTACTGAGTGGGGAACAACAAGCCAGGATGTGCATGAATGCTTTCACTATTGCATGGAAGCATCATCTAGGGATACTACTACCTTTGGCCTGGTGGTAGTGAGCGAGTTGAGTGTCAAGGAAGGAAGTCCCAGTCGGTTGAAAAACGTAGGCAAAGGTCGGACAGTGACCTCAGCGATGCCATCACGGTGTTGACGTCACTGGCAGAGGCACGACGTCCGGCCAAGGCAAATGATGGTACATCGGCGGCCACCACGAACAAAGAGACAAAGTGATTCCTTGCAGGGGGGGGGGCGACAATGTAAATGATGATCACAGTGCTTGAGGATGTTATCAATCCGGTTCTTGTTTGCACAAAGAAGGGACTGCCAACAGCGGCAGATGTCATGAAGACTGCTGCAACAAAGTTGGGAATGATGGTTGTTTCATACATGACAGCTTACAGGGCTCTAGGCTATGAGACCAGAAGCATGAGGAATGCAGTCATGAAGAGCTTCAAGAATGGTCCTTCCATTTCTTGAGGGCATAGAAAGAAGAAATCCTTGTTCTGTGATTGGGTAAAGTGGGGAGGATGACATGAAACTTGTCAATCTCCATGTATTTCCTGGCATGATGAATGTGGCGCTGAAGTTTATTTGGCCGTGGTATCGTTGGATGCTGCAAATCTACTAATAAGTGAACACATAGGGACTCAGTATAGAGCATCAGTCCTTAGTGGGCGGTGCAAAGACATCTTCCCATTGGTCAGCAGGGAATGAGGATAGGTGCTTTGAATTGTTGAAAACAAAGGCAAGTCCAATCATTGATGATAAGGGATATGGTGACACAGACACAGATGGCATTGTCAGACCACCATTCCTTTTCATTTTGGACAGAGACAAAAGTCTTAACAAAAATTGAAAGCAGATTTCCCCAACAAGAAGTACAAAATGATTTGCACAAAGCACATTGACGAGGCAAGCGAGGTTTGAAAGTTTGGAGGCAGTGAGCAAAGTTTGTCTGTTCATTAGCTAAAACATTCTCAACATGGACTGCAAGCCTTATGGTCGGACCTTACAACCACTTGTACCTGGTACTGTAATGTTTATTTAGTAAATTACCGCATGGCAGTTTGGTCTCAGAACTCAGAACCTTTACCATATGCATGGTAGTGGCATGCAAGTATGGAATAGTACCAAAATACTCCGTATGAAAAATCTCTATGTTCACTCTTCACTTGCAGGAGGTCTGGCCCAAGCACGCTTCTGGGGGTAAACGGTAAATTTGAGGCCATAGAAATGTGCGTGCCAGCCTGGGGCTGGCTGGCATGAAGCAGAGTTTTTAGAATTGGTGTTGATCCATTGAGCCGGCAAGGTTTTTCATTGTCAGCAGATATTTTTTTGTCATCATATTCTGTCAGTTATCAGCAGCTTTGTTTTTTGTCAGCAGATTTCTCAAGTCAGCAGTCTCTTATTTTTTCAACATAATACTTAGAGGGAGTCATCGCTATCACTTGATGGCACTTTTTTTGTCACAATCACCTTTTGTGTAATCCAAGCAGATTTTTCAGGAGGTTTCCATCATCAGAAGTTTTTCTTTCTAAACCAGACTTTGTCGTCACCCGATCCTGTTTTTGTCAGCAGATTTGTTTTCATTAGCAAATGGTGTTGCGTATGTCATCAAAATTCAAAATTACGTTCGTGCCTGCTTATTCATTTTTTGCCAGCCTGTTTCTTGACGGAAACATTTTCTCCCCCGGCCGGCGCGAATTTTCATCACAATCAAAATTGCATTCCGTTGGCGAGACCCTCACGGCCTGGCATGATTGGAGAGTACTGTAGAGGAAAAATGCAAAAGAAGTGTAGACCGACACGGGACTCGAACCCGTAACCTTCTGTTCCGAAGACAGATGCTCTGCCATTGAGCCAGCCGATCACATCGCAATGATGTGCAGAAGTCAGTTACAATTCTGAGAAGTGATTTTAAAATATTTATATGCTGTCAATACTTGAAAATGCAATATTGGTTGTCACTTTTTGAGAAAGATCCATTCCAAGTGTAAGCTGTGTGTGACGTATGCCCAGGCCATCACATGGAGGATGGCGGGGAATGGCGGAAAAAGGAACATACCCAGGCCATACCGACCCTCCCAGCGGCATGCGTCTACCCATTGCAGTCTTGGCGTTGGCCCAAGTTTCGGGCTTTGTTGTCCCTCAGCACCCTTCCTTTGTTACGAACAAGGTCTCATTGTACGCTGCGATTTCGTTGGATTTGGGGGAGTTTCATCGCAAGGACTCGTACTCGAGCCCAGAACGACCCAAAAATGATTTAATGATTCGGGCAGCACTTGGCGAGGACGTCGAAAGGACACCCGTTTGGTTGTTCCGTCAAGCCGGTCGTCACCTTCCAGAATACAAAGCCTACAAGGACGAGGTTGGTCGGAGCTTTCTGGATATGCTATCTTACCCAGAGGTAAGCCATGATTAATTGGGTTTCGGCTGCCTGCGAGTTCCAAGCCGACTATCCTATGTCTCCTCAATTCGTTGCTGACCACATTCGCTTCCAGGATGTCGCTGAGTGCACAATGCAGCCAATTAGAAGGTACGATCTTGATGCAGCCATTTTGTTTTCAGACATCTTGGTCATCGCGCAGGCGCTCCAGATCGATGTCATCATGCCTGGTGGCGTTGGAATCCAGGTGCCGAACCCTTTGGCTGAGCCTCTGGAGGTCGAGCACCGCATTCCCAAAACCTCAGAAATGACTACAGAGTATGTCGATGCTATGTTAGGCTACGTCATGCGCAGTGTGAAGCTCATTCGAGAGAAAATGGCCGAAGAAGGCATCGACATCCCGCTCATTGGATTTTCAGCTGCCCCTTGGACACTCCTATTTTACATGGTCGGTGGCTCTTCTAAGAAAAACACGGATATTGGTATGAAGTGGCTGAAGGAGCACCCTGCAGAGTCGACTCGTCTCTTGGAAACCTTGACTAAAATTGTCATCGAGTACATGTCGGCCCAAGTCGAAGCTGGAGCTCACATGTTACAAGTCTTTGAGGCCATGGGAATGATGATTGAGGAACAGGAGTTTAACGATTTTGCTCTGCCTTGCCTTGCAGCTATCGCCAAGGAAATTAAGTTCCGTTTCCCAAATGTCCCGCTAATGGGATTTGCTCGCGGGGCTAGCCACGCAAATGACAAACTTGCGGCACTTGGTTACGATGTTGTCACCATTGATGGTTCTGTAGATCGAAGCTCCATAAGATCTGTTCTCGGTGAGAACGTGCCAATCCAGGGCAACTACGACCCAGCAGAGCTGATTGTTGCCAACGGCAAAACCGTTGAAACTGTCAAAGCGACTGCTAAGGAAATGCTGGAAGAGCTAGGAACCCAGCGTTTGATTGCTAACCTGGGAGAAGGTTTGGGGGGTCAAGAGAGCCCTGACTTGGTCAAGGCCTTTGTCGACGCCATTCACTCCGAAAGCACATCCATGATTGCTGCTGAGGCTGGGTTCGCCCCTGAAGTTGTAGAGGCATAATGTTGTTTCTATCAGCCTGTTTTGGTCGAGATTCGTTTGCATATTTAAACTTCTGCCATAGGTCGCCTAAATGGATTAGTACAAACAGGACAATCTGACATGGTATTTTGTTGCGTCTTCCTTGCTCGAAAATCTGGTGGAAGGCATGATGTCGATCCTCGTGTTACCCATGCCATGGGGTATCGATCGTGAAGCCTTATGATTCGATCTGCAGTGTATCTACGGGTCCGATTAGGTTTCACCAACGTGACGTCAGCGCGTACCAATCAGGATGCCCTCAGTATGTTACTAACCTAATCGGATCTTTTGAGTACTGGAGTACAACGTACTCTACCTCTGTACTGATGTAAAACGTACCATGTACTGCAGAGACGGAATGCCCACCCAAACCCATTGGGTTAAGCTCAACTGGGTGGGCAAATCATAGTGACAGTAGATGTTTGCTACCGGTAGTAGTAGAACCATGTACTCCAGTACTACGGTAGGTCTTGTAGATCGTATGGGTTCTGGGTGGGTTTGGTGGTACTGTGAACGTAGCTACGTGTACTGTTTCAGAACGTCTCGATGTACTGTACCTCTGTACTGATGTACAACGTACTATGTGTACCTCTGTACTGATGTGGAGTACGCTACCGGTAGTATTCATACTGGTTGGAACGTAAATTGTAGTACATGGGTACTTGTACCTTTTTCTCCAGGTTGAACGTACACTTGCTATATGTATGCATATAACGAAGGAATCCGTCGGTTACTCGAGTGTTTCATACTACTATTTATCAGTAGGATTCTTTCTACTAGTCTTGTTACCATGGTAATGACCTCTGACCACGTCGTTCTTGATTACTCCTACAAGATTCCCAACAAACTTCCATTCAGACATGTCGAACTGGATTACTTAGTGTCGAAGAATTCACAAGTGATGGTACAGAACTCCTGGAGTGCTTCCGCCCTTTCGACCTATAAACCATGTGAGACTCGAGAACGAAAATGACCTCGGATGTGTTGACTGTCTTAGAGAAATGCCAATTCTTAGTTTTTGGTGGATGACGAAGCAACGACATCTTGAAACTTGCAACGATTCTCTCACCGAAACGTGTGACCAGGTCATACGTGTGTAATTAGTAATTAGGGTTCAGTGTGAGAAAACAAGTCGTACTACGTACTACGGAGTACTCCAGTACCTGGTAGCTTGTACAATCATTGACTTGCATACTTGCATAGTATTCTGATAAGAAGGGTACCTTGTACTGTACGTACTCCGTGAACCTTCGTTCGCGAGGTGTCCATGTGTCAATTTCCTATGTGTCTGAAGTACGGCTACTAGTAGAGTCAACCGAACGTTTCGAGGTGGATCAAATAAGATGGACTACCAGATGCAGGCAAAGGGCCAAGTAGAACGAGCTCAACTCGCCAGTGGTATTTAGTATTTACCCTATTAGTTCACATACTTTTCAGTCGATAAACATGACTTCCACGTTTTCGTGCCTACGGCACAAGCTCGGATCATCGCTCCACGATCCTAGTTGATGGGGAATCCATGTTGGTCCAATCGAATTACATCCTGTTGTTGTCTTTGCTGTTGGCCGTGTCGGTTGGGATCGTAGCCCATGGCCCGGAGCGCTTGATAGGCTGCCCTTAAAACAGTCTCTTCATCTTGATTCCGCTGTGCAGCATTCATGATGGCGTGCAAACCGCCAGCATTGGCGATATCCAGATGGTTCTCCGCAGACGCCGCCAAATTCGCCAGGGCCGTGCAACCGCATTGTTGCACTCCCACAATGTCAGGATGGTTATTCATCGCCTGCACGACAGTGTTGATGCCCCCATGCTCTTTGATGGCCTCGCGATTGAACTCGTTGAGTGCGAGATTCTGCAGTGCTTCACAACCTGATTGTTGGAGACGCTGTGATCTTGGAAAGGAGGCCATGGCGTGCAGTAGGGTTGAGATGCCACCCACTCGGCCAATGGCTGCGGAATTCTCGTCATCCCAGGATTGAATCCAAAGCTTCTCACACCCCTTCTCTTGAATCCTGCGTTCGTTGGGGTAGCGCCTCATTGCTGAGAGAATTTCAGGAGATCACATCCTTCGTTGTCAAAGTTACGTAGAGTGTCCTCAACAGCAGGATTACTAACTGTCGAGGCGTCTGCTGCGGAGGCATTGGAGCCAACATAGTCCGGTCTTGAGCTCCGGGGTACGACCCTGCGGATGATACAGTATTGATCGACCTCGTGGACCGGAAGGCTGCGTCCATGGTTTGTATGGGTTGGTGACTGATGGGGTAGCAGAACAGACAACGGCCTCTGTGTACTTCATAATCCACTGTGAGAGGAACTTTCCTCAATTGCCCAGTCTGATTGTCTATTCTGAATTCATGCGTCTGCACCCGCATTCGCTGCATCGTCCCTCCGCTCCCTATCTCTTTGAGAGATGTCGCCATCTGACGCTACAGATTGGCCACCACCGACGCTGCGATACGCAGCGCGAGGGTTGGAAGAGAAATTGTGACCTGAGTGGTGCGATCCGGACCAGTTTGAGGCGTGGGACCTCATCATTGTCATCATCCATGTTAATGTCAGGTACGAAATTTGGCATACTCTTGATTCGTAAATGATTTTGAACTGAAGTTTCCCTCCACCAGTGGCAAGATGCAATGCTTAGTGAAAATGATGCAGTGGAGTTGGCAATCAGTTGTAGCAGGCTAAATCACGACGGGACAGGGCCACGTAGAGACGTGGGCAGGTTCACGAGTATGCTCGGCGTAGGTGCTCACCGTAGGCAGACAACAGAACTATTGCACCGACTACTCGAACAAATCCCGTAATGACCGTTCAGTTGCCGCTACAGCTTCTGCGATGAGTCTTCTGACTTGGTGGATAGGCTTGACACGACAAGAGGTGCGAGCGGAGGTGAAGACGACGTATTGGAAGATAAGAAATATGTTGACTTGCGTTTTTGTGCAACCTACTGTATTCCAAGTGTTACCAACCTCCCTGCAGTCAAACGAATTATGGGACTGGCACGGTCCAGAGAATGATTCACGACGGTCGTTCTGGTACTTTTCCTACAGTTGGGCCTCCGACCTCCCTCACTTGGCAAAGCCGCTCATAGCCGTATCCCTCTGGGATTACGCAGTCACGAACCCTCACTCAATGCTTTATGTCAGAACGCCTTGCTGTCCTCACGGCCACTGGGTGGCATTCTATCTTACGAAAATAGACTAATAGCATATCACCGTAGCATGGACGAGGATATCCTTTAAAACTCCGAAGCACAGAACACCTACAACAAAATTGTACCGATGGGCATGCGTCTAAGCAAATTTTCAGGGCCCCTTCTGAGACCATCGATGTCCGAGTTAACATTTTTTATTGGCTACGACACAATTATATCTGATTA